GTGCACCAATGAATGACTCATAAACCCAAGAGGTGCAGCTCACTCTTTAGTTGTGTGGGAGAGATCCTGACAAAAAGAACCACAGGCTTTTGACCACAAGGAAAAATGGAAAATTGATTGAACCACAATCCAGATTTTTTGTTTCATGCTAAATAAAAGAAATTACAAAAGGAATGCTAGAGATTAAGGGACTGATTCTGAAATTCAACATGGACCAAAGATTGACAATACTTGGGGTCAAGAGACATGCGGCTAGTAATATTCATGTTGTTACCTAAAAACCATGGCAAAATATCATCTTGTCCTACCAAACAAAAACTAACCAGTAACAACAATGTCAAAGCTTTGAACATTCACCTTGACTGACTCTTACGTAGAACAATTAACTTTAACACGTAATTCAACTGATTAACTCCTTTTTCTAAGAATAATAAAATGTTTATATTATAATGTCACTCCAAGTCCCTTTAAAACAGGAATTGAATTGAGACTCTGTCGAACTAACCTTCCACTAGAATCCAAAAGCAGTGTCCGAATATTATCGGTGTGCCCTCTGAGCTTCATGTTCTTAGAACCAGTTCTTGGGTCCCAGACACGCACTACCTAGTAGAATCATATATTTATGACACAAAATTGAAGTATTTCAGAAGTCTTAAATGATTAAAACATTAAAATAACTGCTGCAGATTTGGACAATAAAAATGTCAGCCATATTGCGAGAATATACCTTCTCAGTTCCACCAGAGACAAGAATTGTTCCCTGGTTATTCGTGGCCAATGCATAAACTGACTCTTTATGGCCTTTTGCAGAAATAGGAGTGTATCCTTGAGATTGAGTAGCATGCAGAGAAATGTTATTACTTGAACCAATAGGACGCATACTCGTATTAGTTAACGAAGATCCCAAACCATTGACACTAGCTGCACCATCATCTTCAGCTGCGTCATTTGACTTGGACACGGGAGCATGTGCAGCTTCAAGATCCCATATGAATACTTCCCCACCTAGGCCACCAGAGGCAACAATATTGCTCTGTAATGCATGAATGTAAGAGAATCACAAACGGATAGCAGAAACATACATCACACCTCCATGTACAACAGCTTATCAACTAAACACAAGATCCAAATATCCAGGAATTTCGTAAACCCAGAAGACATTTGCAAGAGATATTACATTGTTTTCTGCTGCGGCAAGGCAAGTGACATAGTCAGAATGTTGACGCAAGGTTCTGGTACATGTTCCATCAGACAAGCAATTCCAAATCTGATAATACCAACAAAAAATAAATAGAATAATATATGAATAGAAGTTAGTATATATGTAACATAGAACCAAAGAATGCACAAACCTTAACAGTGGTGTCCGAGGAGCAAGAAACTAATGTGTTACCACCAGTAAGAACAGCATCATTGACCTGCCCAGAAGATGCATTCCAAAATAAATATGTACAATATTCATGTTGTGCATTAAAAAGTCAAAAATTGTGAATCATATTAGCTTCAGATTTTAAAACAAAAAAATAATCC